TGCAGAGATCGTAAATTCACTAAGTCCTCAGTGCTATGGAATGTTATATCAAAAATAAAAGCATGGTATTTTTTCTTCAAGAATTTATAATGCAATTTGAGTACAGGTTAAACAAATGTATACATTCAAAGGTACAAATATCCTATAACCAGCTTTAATTGGTGTGACAATATAAAATTAAGTTGTTGAACATTTTGAAGGAAAAATACTGTAATTTTTATAAGTGAACAATAGTAATAGGTAAAACTGACAGCATTTTGCAATTTAGGAAGTGACTCTGATAAAATCACTGAATTCATAGAACATCCCATGAGACCCCATAAGCATGTTTTCCCGTTTTACGGATGAGAACCAAATTTATAAACTAAGTAGTAGAGCTAAGATTCAAATTAAGTTCTCACAGCTAAATCAAGGGGGCCACTGGATTTGTAAGTTTCACATACTTTCATATAAGTAATCTAATTTGATCATTATAACAATTGTTGGATAATAATAGCAGTTAATATTCATTGAGTACATATTATGTGCCAGGTTCTATTCTATATTAATTCATTCGCTGCACATAAAACCCTATAAGGAAGGGTTCTATTATTACCCCATTTTACAGACTTAAAAAAAAAAACTGAGGGCCAGAGAAAACAGGGAAAGTGTCCAAGATCACACAGCTAGCAGGTATGGGGATCAGAATTCAAACCCATAGCATCTGATTCCAGTGCCAGTGATGTTCTTCACCAGCTCCCTTGTAGGTAGGTTAACAGACAGCAGGTTAAGAAACTTGCCCAAAGTCACAAGGGGAAAAAAAAATTGCAGAGAAAGAACGAGAAACCTGTCCTCTAACTCTTCACCCTAGCTACATTTCCTAAATGTGGAATAATTACAATCATTAAATCCAGAAGGGGCATGAAGGTTTCGCGTATAGGTGGTTCTCTGAAGCAGAGTGTGAGTAGGTGAGCACTCTCAACACTGAGGGGCAGGGTGGGCAGGGAGGAAAAAAAGCCATCAGAATAGAGAAAACTTATCTTCTATAAATTGAAGGCAGAAGAGAGTAAAATGTATGTGAACAGATCCAAGTGTATTTGTCATTTTGAAGAAGGGAGTATGAATTGGGATGGGTGAAGAGGAGAATTAAGGAAGTTAGTAAAAAGTGAAGCACTACACTGATTTGTTTTGAGAGAAAATTTAAAGCCGCTAACAGATTTGGAATAGGTGTTGTAATGACCCCAAAAGGAGTGATGCCCACATCACTGCCAAAAGTACCTAGCACACAGGAAAAAATAACATAAGCACTGAAAGAATCTGACTACACATTTTCATTTCTCTTTTTCTTTCCTTTTTATTTATTAAAATGTCATTTATAGTTTAGCAGCGCCTTTTCATTGTCAAAACCTTTCTGTGGAGTAGAGACCAAGATGAGAGCATAATTAGCATAACATACTTCTCATTAGTTTCCATACCATGATTCAATGGTGCTGGTTATTTTAGCATACAGATCTTCCTTAGAATCATATTAAAATCAGATGAAGGAAATTACAACAAATGCCATTCAAATGAATAAGCTGAAATGCCAATCTAAACCTAAAGTATATGTTAAAAGTAGAATTTGCAATAAATATAGAAACCAATCACAGCAGGGACCAAAAGCAATGATGCCAGGACACTAGTAAGAAGCACTTTTAAAAAGACATATTAAATGAGGAAAACTAACCCTAATGGAATTTCTTCTCTCATTACTTAAAATAAACCAGGTCACTGAGATGGGTTTACACTATGGTATTTTGTTCATTTTAATTTCATTTTTATTTCATCAAACCATAAATTCCCATGGAAATACCTTAGACACGTGTCCACAATAATTGGAATGCCTAACATTGCAGTATAAGTACTTTTACATGAGTTCCACAAAATAAAAAGAATGCAGTGAGATCCCTCCAAGTTTTTTGCTTATGTCAACAGCTATTTTATGAGTATGAATTATCTCTGTGGCTATAAACTGCATGTGTAAAATACATTACATGAGTCTGTGTAAAGCCTTAATGTGCAAGACCACGTAAAGGTCTGAACTGCACACAGAAACATCAAAATAAAGCTAAACTTCCTAGAATATAGCAATCATAAATTTTTTCTTCTCAAAGCCATTACTGTTAAATATACCTTGATGAATTAAGTTCAAGTGTAACTACAATTGAAACATATGATTCAACTGAGCTGTGACCTATTTTTCTTCTCAAAAGCAAAAGGGAATTATGACAGTTGTGAGACTTACATTTTTCCATTCAAGGGTACTTCTAAAAGTTATTTTACACTACAGCTAAAAGCAAAATGCACTTAAGTAAAATTTGCTTCAAAGTATAATTATTTATGCTACTGCTGTTCACAGGACAGATAGAATTTTAATAACAATTTATTAAATAATAATTATATTTGCTCATTTATTTTTAAATTGTACAGACCAAGAGGCATTCAGGAAGGAAATAATCTTAATATGCAATACGATATCTAAGTCTAAAATTTAATTATAACTACATTATATATTTACATACAACAGAATCAACAATCAACAAGACAAACACAAAATTAACGTATATATATGGTTAAAAATACCCACCCCTAGCAGAAAGCTTTTTGGTGTTGATAATTTTGGCAGCATATTCTTGTCCAGTAGGGATTTTCATACATCTTCTCACCACTGAGAATGCCCCCCTGGAAACCAATAATTAGCAAGTCATCAATACAATCAGATCTGATATTCCATTAAAAATTTACAAAATTTGAGCATTTTTATTGATTTTAGTGGATTGTCAAATTCTCAGTGTACTACAGTAATATCCAGAAAATGAAAAATTCTTCCTGAAAACCCAGGCCTTCTTTAACGTTGAAGAATAAAAGTACATTTTATTTAACTGGGAACACACATTATTAATCAAAAAAATGAAAGGAACTGGCAATTATGACTGCTCTTGTTTGCACACGAAATTTGAAAACATTTTACAATACACAGCACCAAATGCTACGAGAAAAACCCTGCAAAGAACAGAGCTGAGGAGGAGCAGCAAAAATCTGCTGCCTATTTATTTTAGTGGGGAAAAACAATTAATGTGGCTCCAAGTAAGTAAACACAACGATTATTTTTATTAAAATATAAATCTTGAGCACATTTGTGTGGTTTAACAAATACTGGTACGGTGATTTCTCTATGTCCTGTTTGGGCTGGGGGAAGGGAGAGATTTGAATTAAGCTGCTCTTCCGACATATTCTCCATGTTTTAACAGTAGACAGTATATAAATATATAATTTTCATTACATTGGAAAATATTTACATTTCCTGTAATTCAACGGTATAAGCCAACAACACACACAGAAACGCACCCCCTTCATAAGTAACAGTCGAAACTAGCAATAGAGGAATTAGGCTTGGGTTTGATGCTACATAAATCAACATTCATGGCTCGGCCCCTAGGTCCTCAGTGGGTCTCCTGTCTCCTTCCTTAACATCTCCAGGTAGTTTTGCCAGTGGGGTATAGGAGGTGGTTTCAGACAACGCCAGGCTTCCCTTGGGAAGCGCTCTCCCAGTTTCCAGAGGGCTTTTCCGCTGCCTGTATAAATAAATCCTCTGAAAACGCAAAGGTGCACGCGTAAATCCTAGGAAGAATGCTGGTGAGCGAGCAACCTAGTGCAAAGAATGACAGTGGATATGGGGCAGGGGGTTGGGTTCTGTTGGGTGGCCCTTTTCCTGGACAGAACAACTACTCGATGCGAAATAGACTCTACGCCAAGTTGAACTTTCGGCATCGATAAATATGGCACCGTCTGAGGCGGTGAGTTCTCATCCGTACGTGGGTCACACCGCCGACACGCCGGCTAACCAGGAGGCATCTCTATTTACAGAAAACATGATCTATGTTGCATTTTACATGGGTTCCAGTTTCCTTGCCAGACACACGCGCGCACACACACACACTCACGCATGCACACTTCTGAGGATGACAGCTACAACTGCAGAGATCGTAAATTCACTAAGTCCTCAGTGCCGGAGGGCTGGGGGAGCGGAGAGGTGGGGTTAGGGCTTACCAGAACTGGCCACAGTGGGTGTGAGGGTCCTACCTAGCCTTTCTGTGCTGCCCCCCTTACTGAGACAGCGCCTCCCCCGAAGCTGACAAACCAGGGGCCTTCCTCCCTCCCCTCTGGTCTCCCGAACTCCCTCGCCCACCACTGAGGCCGGAGGGTCGGGGGCACCCGACCCGCCCTCTGCTGGAAAAGGGACGTGAGGATGCCGAGCAAAGGCGCTTACTTTCCGAGCTCCTCGAAAAGCTGATACTCGTCCGTGAACCTGGTGCAGGTTGTGGTCGAAGCCATCCTCGGTCCGGGCTGCGCCCCGGCTGGGAGAGCGACGGACGAGAGCGAGCAGACGCGCGGCTAAGCCCGGGACTGGCCCCGCGGCGCTGTCACCCAGGGCCGCCCTCACTTTCCTCGTCCGAAAGTAGCTCGCCCGCGAGGGAGTGTGCGCAGGGGCGGGGCGGCCGGGGAGACGGCCAGACAGGGTGGCGTGGGGTCCCCTCCCCACAGTCCGCCGAGCCGCCGCCTCCTGCGGGCCTCGCTTCCTCCTTCTCCTCAGGACGCGCCACCAGCCCGTCTTCCAGCCCCTCTCCCCAAATGCAGGGGCAAAGTACTCCAGAAGTGGGGGCCGGGAATGAAAAAACAGCCGGGCACGGGGCAAGTGGCGAGCGGTTGCGAAACGAGCCGCACCGGGGCAGGAGCGGGGTGAGCGGAGGGGCGGGAGTCCGAGGGGGCGGAGGCGGAGAGCCGAGGGCCGAGGCCGCGGAGCCGGGAGCGGACCGCGCGAGCCCGGCGGCAGCTGTCAGCAGGCGCAGCGCGGGGCGCGCCGGGGCTCGGCCGGGCGTGCGCGCCCGGGACAGGCCTCCCTCCGGCGGGCAGCAGCGGCGCCGCGAGCGCCAGGCACCTCAGCGGCCTCGCCTCCCCGCTCCCGCGCGGCTTTCAGACGGCGCGGCGAGAGAGCGCGCTCGGCTCGGGCGAAGCCTCGTCTGCCGTCCCCGGGCCTCGTCTCCTCCCCCGGCGCCTCCCCCGCCGCTCCCTCCGCCCGCCCGCACTCGCTCCTCTCGAAGCCCCCTCCTCGCCGGCCCCACACCTCCCTCTAGCGACTCCAACCCCGTCCTTCCGCGGCTCGTTCCCTCCGGCTCACGGACGAGCACCCCGTCCAGGGAGAAGCCAGGTGGACGGTGAGGATGTGCGAGGGAGAAACCTGGAGGCGCTTTAGGCGAATGAGGCGAGACATCAAAATGACCAATTTAAACCTGCAGAAAGACGCCTGCCCAGATCTGGGGCTGATCTAGTGGGAAGGCGCGGGGGGATTCGTGGGCGGCCCAGGGCAGCCGCCAAGGGCCAGGGGGGCCCACGCCCCGACTTGGGGCGCCGGGCACTGGGGACCTCTCCGGACCGCGGCGGCCGGGGGAGCAGAGCGAGGGGTAACCACTTCATCTCGGCGCCGCTCAGTGTAGACGCGGCCGGATGTGGGCAGTCGCCGCTTCCAGAGAAGGGCCCCCCTCCCACAGCCTGCGGCGGCTGTCGGGACCCGGCGCAGCCGAAGCCGCGTCCGCCCCGCCGCCGGGCGACCAGCGGGTGCGGGTTTCCCCAGCCTGACGGCACGCTCGCCACACCTCACTTCAGCTGTGACTGCCCCTCCCTGTCCCTCACTACCCCGCGCTGTTTTCCAGGCTGGGGGGCTTAGACTCGGGCACTCCCCAAAGGCTTTAGCTTTGGCAATGAATTGACAGAACGAAACCAAAAACTCCGCCACTCGGCCACACCTTCCCATCTCCTCAGAGTAACTCCCCTGTAACCTCGGTCAATTCTGATAGTAAGGCGGGTTCTCGCGAGATTTCCCTCTCGGCGGCGGGGCGGGGTAGTAGAAAGGTTGGGTGTCGGTCACGCGACCCAGTGGGGGCTGACGTCACTTGCATCACATGAACATGTCTAGCCTGTTTCGCTTTGCAAAGGGAAAATAGAAAAGGAGAGGTCGTATGTGCTTTGCTTGCAGGCGTAAAGATCCCGGCCAGATAGTGGCCATTGAGTCTACTCCTTAAATGGCTCTCAGAAAAGCCTCTTCACTGTAAGAATCTGCCGTGTTCATTAGCATATCTGCCATTGTTTTCAGTACACGGGAGAAAAAATAATGATGCATAACCTTTAAAATAGATACATTTTTGCCCATTGCTAAAACAACTTCTGGGCCTTCCTTCCAGTTCTAGGTCTTTAATAAACTGTGTCATTGCAAATTTAGACGCAGACCGAAAACAAAAGCGTTATGAAGAGTCTTTTTCTAATTCCTGCCTTTTGTTCTACAGCACAGCAGGGAACCCTAAAAACCTTGCAATCTTCTTGCAGATTGGCAAGGTGTTAAATTATATCATGGACTTAAAATTTCACAGCTGAAAAATAAAAGATAACTTGCAGTAAAAGATAATTGAGATTGAATGGCGTTGTTGCTTGCTCTCAGAGACTGCTATTAATTAATAAATTACCTTGCTCATGGTCACACATAATCCTAATTCCCTTATTTCCTGATTTGGGAAAGCCGTTCTTTTGACTCAGTTTTTATTGAAGTGCTGAAAATGTTCATAAATTTTAACGCTTATTATGACAAAATTATACGTATTTAGTATTTTGATTGACAGCCATGAAAAGCAAGAATAAACTTTGTGTAAAATGTAGTGCTACAGAAAAAGATACCAAAAACTGTGTAAAAGAAACATGGTGTCTAACTATTATAATTGGGCTATAAATGAAAATAAAACAATTTGTTCTTGACTAAAGATTTTTAATATATATCTTAAATATTTAGGAATATGGCTTCTAGTTATAATGAACTAATAATATGCTTCCCTGAATCTAAAAATGAAACAGAAAAAGTAAAATTAAAACAATAAATAACAGTAATACAAAATTTTACAACTGGGAAGAAAATGTTTTTTAAATATTCAAGTAACGAAATATAAGTACAGTATTTATCTCAGTTATTTAAACTCCCAGTAATTGTAAATGGTTATGATAATTGTGCGGTACAATAAAGGAAACATAACTGAGTTTTAATGCTGATGTATTATTAGACAATAAACATGTACTTTTTTATGCAAACACTGCTTCATCTACATATGCACTGTTCTTTTATCTATATTTTGTACTAATTAAAATATTTTTCTTATTTAAACAAATATTTGCAGTTATTTCTGAAGTTTGAACCTCAAGACAGTAATCAGGTCAAAGATTTTTTTTTTCTTTAGTTCCACTTCAATGTTATTTCTATAAAATAGAGTTAAAGTAGAAAAAGATGTCCATAAACAGAATAACACTGGATATTATTCCCTGTTTTAGTGCCAAATGTATTTACATTTTATCAGACATACTTAACAAATTGATACCATGAACAAAAGGGCAGGGAGGCAAAGAGGAGGAGTCAGTAAAGAAAAAAATATTCATTAAACTTGTTGTAGATAGTAAGGTAGACTTATTCAAAGAGCGCAGTGGGGATAGGGACTATTGCAAGCCGGTCTTGCAGTAGAGGAGAGAGATTGGACTCTGCTCTAAAGGACAACGGGTGACTTACATAAACTGAACAGGGTGGGGTTTAGTGGATATACAATTTTTTTTTTATTTCAGCATATTATGGGGGTACAGATGTTTAGGTTACGTATGTTGCCTTTGCCCCTGGATATACAATTATTAATACTAAATATTTTCTTTCTCTCTCTGACTACTTGGAATTAAAAAATTCCAAGACTTCAGTAGTCTCAGAAGGGACATGTTTCTAATACTTAGGTTAACAAAGACATAGTAACATCCATTGATTTCTCTTGCTATGATGTTACAAGATAAGAAACAATGAAGAGATAATGTTATCTCTATAGCTCCCAAAGTGCAGAATCCATCAGTAATAAGTAGATTCCTGTAAAAAATTGAGCAGGGGCTGTATTGTGTAGCCAGTCTGCACTGCAGATTTGGAGGCAAGGGAAAAATAGCAACTCGTTGTTGCTTTTTCCAGTTAATCTTTCCAAGCTATGATAACTTAACCATATAAAGCCAAACAGATATAATCTACTAATGATCAGGTAATCTATTCACCCGACCATCCATTAGGGAAAGATGAATTTGCAGATAAGGAAATAAACTATTCATAAAACAAAAGCTAATAATAGAAAAGATTTTCTTTGTTTCATCAGGTGCTAAAGGATTTAATTTTTTTCCTAAAAAAAAATAAATGTGTAAATAAACAAGAAAATAAGTGATATCCACACAATGAAGAAGTGGCACTTTTCTGTTAATTCCAAGTATATTGGTTAGCATACTTGATCCTCCATGAAGATACATGGGTACCTAACACTCTGCTGACAGAATTGTAGTAAGAAATTACATTGAGATGTATAAATCAAAATAACTGCGTAAAAGATTGTGGAGTCATTAAAAAATCGAAGAAAAAAAATTAGCAGATTTTTGACTCTTCTTATGTATACTCATAATGATCGTCACTGAGTTTCAAGTGTTGTTGCTTTTGCAACACTCATCACACTGGACTGTAATCAGACCATCAGACCCTTCTGGACAGGGACTGTCATTCAGTCCCCCCATTGCAGCACTAGCACAGGGTTTTTACAAAAATAGGTGCTCAAAAAAACCTTTGAAAAAACTAAATATCATCAATCTTTGTCTTGCAAAATATTAAAAAGGCCTACACTGTAACAGAGGGTAATGAAGTCTCTTTGTTGCTATATTTAATAGATCCTTTGTAATCCTGAAGTAAGTTGACTTCTCTGTATCATTTCGTACTCCTGACCTGAAATTCTCTGTTGATTTCCACGTCTGATACCACATGCTTAGCTCCTCGCCCGCACCCACATTTCTGCTTCCTCTTTTCTTCAATACTGTTCTGAGCACTTTTTCCTCTGCCTTGTGGTAAATAGTAGTGCTTTCAGGATTCTGTCTTAGGCTGCCCGTTTTCTTATTTTACATACCTTTCCTAGGCTACTTTAATAACTCTCACTGTCTTATCATGTGTCTTAAATTTGGCTCTGTAAATGTAGACCATGAGGCACGAATGTATAGAAAAGGGGTATATTGAGGCAGTGATCCCAGAGACAAAGATAATGTTAAAGGAAAAAATCATTCAGTGACACTTGCCAAAGCACAGTAAGGCAGACTTCATTCAGGACTATCCCAATAGGTACAGGGACGACTGCAATAGGGTTTTGCAGTGGGGGAGAGAGATTGGACTCAACTCCAAATGCAAAGACAAGAGGGCATTTATAGCCAAGGACAGGGGTGGGGGAGTGGGGAGAGGCAGGTGGATGGAAAATTACTTACTAAGAGGAAACATCAGGGGTAAGGGAGTATTCTGGCTAAACTAACCTAACGGATTCTTGTTGAAGTCAGGCTGGAGGATTCTGGATAAAAAAACTTAGCAGGTGTAGGGATCAAGGGAAAATTTCCCCCTTGCCTTCTGAAGTTTCCCTGAAAAATCAACTCACAAAAGGCAGATTAATTGGAGAAAAAGCATACAAACTTTACGAACCTTCAGCACAAAGATGCAAAGATACTGGGAAAGTTGTCTATTTTTATGCTTAGGTCCAACAAAGTATGGACAGCCATGTAGAAATATGATTGGACAAAAAGGTAAGATCTAATGCTAATAAGCTCAGTGGGGAAACCCAGCAAGGCCTGTCTATCTAGATTCTTCTTGGCCTCTCTGAGCATGCATTGCTTCCTTCTGGGTGTGGGGCAGGACCCTCTCTGGAATGGGGGTCTTATGGCCTACAGTCAAACAGGGTAGGTCAGATAATTTCTTTAT